TCTTTTACCCCACTTAGGTTCCTTCCCCTCAACTCGGTTCCCTGCAGTCTTAACCTTGACAGTTTTCTACCTCTCACATTTCCTCCATTCTTCTTAGTACCCGTCTCCTGTCCAAGACCCCACAGGCCTGATTTACCTGTGGGGATTCCTGGCTTTGGACTCCTCTCTTGGCTTTGCAGGAGGTGGGTACGGACCTCGTGGAGGCCAAGTACCAGCACGCCGAGCCCCGCCTGTCGATCTACGGCCGCAGCCCCGACGAGTGGAGCAAACTCTCCTCCTGGTTCGTCCGCAACCGCATCCACTGCCCCAACATGACGTGGATGATCCAGGTCCCCAGGATCTAGTATGTACCCGCCCCTCGGAAACCCGAAAGCCTCCCCTCCCCTACACGAACAAGGGATGCACAGCTCATCTAGACAGAAACAAGCTTCGTTAAACAGCCCTCAACACTCGGTGCTGGGGCCCGCGGGCCTGGGTTTGTTTGCTCGGGGCTCTGCACCCCCGACCACAGACAGAAGTTAGGGAGATCATTTCAGTTCAGTTTTCTAACCAGACATTTTTTTGTTTTTTAAAGTGCAGGACCTTATGTAGATCACAAACTAGCTGATTGAGAATGATTAAAACTTAGCTAGGATCAGAACTATATACATTTTACTATACATTGTCTTTCTCCTGCTCTTCATCTCTGTTCATTCTTCCCCATTGTCATCTGTGCTGGGACGTAGCTTCCTTGCGTCAGAGCTGCTTCCACTGTCTGCCGATTGTCTCATCAGCGAGGGCTCAGGTTCTCAGTAATCAGTGGGTATTTATCAGTGGTGTTACCACCCGCTCATTATTCATGGCCCTCAGAGATGTTCAGTGTCATTGTGTGTTTATCTAACTTAAGTGTTTATATATTTTTTTGGCCACCTACCTTCATATTTGGTGTGCCCTGTGACAATGCAAGAATTGTATCCTGCCTCTTTAGCCAAAAAAAGTAACTTTTTGACCGGGATGTACTTCCCATCTAGCACTATTAAGGCAGAGAAGCAGTAGGTGCAGTGGTGAGGGGTGTGGACTCTGGGCCCAGACTGGCTGTGCTTGAATCCTGGCCCTACCACTTACTGGCTGTGTGACCTTGAGCAAGTTACATGACCTCTCTGTGCCTTGGTTTTATCATCTTTAAAATAGGGTAATAACAGTACTTAACTTACTGAGTTGAGGTGAGGATTAAATTAACTAATATTTTTGGCCAGTTAGAAGAGCAGCTGCCATATGCTGAGGGCAACACCAAGAGTTCGTCAGGTTGCCCTGGCGACAGCACATCAGAGTCGTTCTCGGTAACTGTTCCACGCTCACCCCTGTACGCCACACAGATAAATAACTGAATCTTTTATGTTATCCTCCCTATACTCCTCATCCTCTCCCTGGGTTTAGCTGTGAAGGTTGGCTTTTCTTACCAGCAAAGGATTTGTAGAAGAGATGGGGGCATGTGGTCCAGCAAGCAGTTGGCACTTCCTATGCTCAGCCCCAGCTGAATCCCTCTTTATGGGCAAGCAAGAAGAGTGCACCGGAGTGGATATAGGATGATTACATCAGGTCTTTTCCTGAACGTGGTGTTTGGTCCTCCTGTCCTCTCATCCTGGGGCAATCTGTCCTAACAACCCTCCCATCCTCTTAAAGTGTCCTCATTCTTGCCCCCAGTGACGTGTTTCGAGCTAAGAATTTCCTTCCGCACTTTGGCAAGATGCTGGAGAATATTTTCATGCCGATATTTGAGGCCACCGTCAACCCCCAGGCTCACCCAGACATCAGCATCTTCCTCAAGCACGTAAGCATGACCCTGCCGGCCTTCATCCGGCTGCCCATGAACCAGTCCGCCTGCCTGGCCGTGGTTAATCCTGGCTGCTTCGGGAGCTGAAGGTTTGCCTGAGGGCTGGGCCCCTGCCATGGGACTGAACCCGTCGCACGGCTCGCTTTTCCCGACAGATCACTGGCTTCGACAGTGTGGATGATGAGTCCAAACACAGCGGCCACATGTTTTCCTCCAAGAGCCCCAAGCCCCAGGAGTGGTCGGTGGGAAGTAATCCATCTTACACGTACTACGCCTACTACATGTACGCAAACATCACGGTGCTCAACAGCCTGAGAAAGTGAGTAGGCGAGACCTGGAGCTAGGAGAACCCACCTGACACACCTCTCCCCTTGTGCACGGGCGCCCGAGGGCTGGCGCTGCTTAGCTGGGGCACTCCCAGCTGGCCCAAGTCAGACATTTCTTCCCCTGACTTTTTCTTCAGTTTCTTCAAGTATACTTATTTAGGGGCAGGAGTGGACATTTTGGAGCCTTCAGTAAAATTCACAGTTCTTTTTCTTTGGACCTTGACAGTAATTTACAGTAATCTCGGGGCAATTGACATAGAACTCCATACATTTTCCCCTTCTTGATAGATCTAAGTAAGAATAAATAGAGGAATATTATTATGGGGCTTTCTGGAAACCTTTACCCTCTGTAGTGTGAGTAGGGGAAATGATGAAATGCTGATGCTGGTGAATTTTCTGTTGAAACTGAAGATGTTTCCCTTCAGGTAATAAAATCCTGGCTTTCTTCTGTACCTTCATATCCACTGCTGCCTCTTTTTCAAAATTCTGTGTTTAGGGAGAATTGAGATTAAGATTCGGAATTGCTGGTTTTTCTTTTTTAAATATTTTATTTATTTATTTTTAGAGAGGGAAGGGAGGGAGAAATAGAGAGAGAGAAATATCAATGTGTGGTTGCTGGGGGCCATGGCCTGCAACCCAGGCATGTGCCCTGACTGGGAATAGAACCTGAGATACTTTGGTTCACAGCCCGCGCTCAATCCACTGAGCTACGCCAGCCAGGGCGGAATTGCTGGTTTTGCCAAATCCTTTGAATGCCCACATTAATGCCCTTCCAGAGAGTTCATTTTTCTACTGAATTTTCTCATCAATCACTCTGTGCCCAGAATTGCTGCCAGGCCCTGGTCAGCCGCCTGCCTGCGGTTCCTATAGCAGTTCCATTTCCCTAGGGAGCGAGGCATGAACACGTTTCTGTTCCGACCTCACTGTGGGGAAGCCGGAGCGCTCACCCATCTCCTGACGGCATTCATGACTGCAGACAATATTTCTCACGGCCTGAATTTAAAAAAGGTGCGTCGGAGGCTCTCTTCTCAATAGTCAAGTTTTTAAGCGAACAAATAAAATTGAAACACACTCCTAGATACAGAGGACAGTCTGATGAATGCCAGAAGGGGAGGGGCCAGGGGACTGGCTGAAAAAGGTGGTGGGATTAAGACATACAAATTGGTAGTTATAGAATAGTAAATTTACATACACAGGAATGTAAAGTACATTGTAGGGAATGCAGTCAATAATATTGTAATAACTATGCATGGTGCCAGGTGGGCACTGAAAATATTGGGAGAGAACACTTTGTAAGGTGTGTGGATGTTTAACCACTATGCTGTATACATGAAATAATACAAAATAATATTGGCTGTAATTAACATCAAAATTTTTTAATATTTTATTTATGAATTAAAGAGAGGGGAAGGGCGGAGAAAGAGAGGGAGAGAAACATCAATGTGTGGTTGCCTCTCACATGCCCCCGACTGGGGACCTGGCCCACAATCCAGGCATGTGCCCTGAGTGGGAATCGAACCGGCAACTGTTTGGTTTGCAGGCCTACAATCAATCCACTGAGTTACACCAGCCAGGACAGAAATTTTTTAGCAGTAACTTTTTATTGGAGCTAGTCACCAGTCATTACCAACACTGACATCAAATCAAAGCAGGACAAAAACGGTTTTTGAGATTATTTAGTGCAGCTCATTGTACAGAGGCCCAGGGAAGCAAAGGCACTTACTTGCTCAGGACCACCTGGTGGCTGGTGGCAGCGATGAGTCAACACAGCTCCCTGACTTCCACTTAGAACCCTGACAAAGGATCATTCAGAGGCGGCACAGCTCACCTGAAACTAGTTTTCTGCCAGATTGCTTGTTATAGCATGCTTTAAAATGCCTCTCGTAGGAGTCAGAACTTCCTCGTAGGGAAAAAAATGTTTCTAGGTGAAACCTTTTGCCAGAGACAGACCATCTAACTCAATCATCTGAAAACTGATGATCCCAAGTCATTTTATTCTAAATAGAATTTACATGTGAAAACTGTTCATCTTATTCACCAGGGGGATTTAAAAAACAGGTGTTGGTTTATTGAAAGCTAAGACTTGAGGTAGACCATGGGGCTTTAACATTTCTCGTTTGTCTTCCTTTTTCAACATCCTTAAATAATTTTTTTTCCTTTTCAGAGCCCCGTGTTACAGTACCTGTATTTCTTAGCCCAGATTCCCATCGCTATGTCGCCATTAAGCAACAACAGCTTATTTCTAGAATATGCTAAAAACCCTTTTCTAGATTTCCTCCAGAAAGGGCTGATGATCTCACTATCTACAGACGACCCAATGCAATTCCACTTCACCAAGGTACGTGTATGGAGTCATGAGCCGCACACGCCTGTTTGCCGGGCTGCTGTTTCCCACCCAGAATTTAAAAATCAAGTCAAGTTATTTCGTTATTCTTTTTGCGCAAGATGCCATTCTTTTAATGCACTTCTTTCCCTTTCTTTTCGTCTCATTTAAATACGTAACCGAAGGAGCCCCTAATGGAAGAATACGCCATCGCTGCACAAGTCTTCAAGCTGAGTACCTGCGACATGTGTGAAGTGGCGAGGAACAGCGTCCTGCAATGTGGGATTTCTCACGAGGTAGACCTGTCTTTGACTGGCTGGCTGCCTTTCTAAGTTTAGATCCGGCCACTTGACCAGTGAAAAATGACTGGGGGAGACACGTGGAAAAGAATGATCCCGCAAATCACAGGCGGTTGCTATGGACAGGGGCTAGAAAGAATTATTTATTTCTCTGGCCATGTCTTTTGGGCAAGGGAAGCAAAATGCACTGTGTCTCAGAAAACCACGCACACTGAGTTCGTCGAGAAGTGCTTTTTTTTTCTTGTCACACCACCGATTGAAGAGAAACAACACGACACGCTGCCACTTCACCCAAAAGTGGTGTTTTCACTTTGCCCTTTTTTGACGGCTCAGTGGGAGAAGCGCTATTAATGGTTTGGTTGTTTCCTTTTGCCGATGGCTAACCTAAGGAAGGAATCTTTGTGAAGGATGTAATTATTGTCTCTATCAGGGTAAAAAGAGACGACAATCATCCTGTTTACTTTTCTCTTACAGGAGAAAGCGAGGTTTCTGGGCAACAACTACCTTGAGGAAGGCCCCGTTGGAAATGATATCCGGAGGACAAATGTGGCCCAAATCCGCATGGCCTATCGCTATGAAACCTGGTGTTATGAACTCAATTTAATTGCTGAAGGCCTTAAATCAGGAGACTAAAATAAATACACCGAATAATAATATGGGTGAGCTTTGCATTGTAGCGTGTGAATAATAGTGGTTACCAGTTACTGAATCCCTACTATAATCCCAGGATTATATTATCGTTCCACTGACATCATTTCATTTAACTCTTTTCACAACTTCAGGAGGTCGGCATTATTATCTCCCCTTGAGGAAGAGGAGTAAACCAAAGTTAGGGAAGTTAATAATCTGCACCAGGGTACACCTAAGTGAGCAGCAGCAGTGGGGACCTAGGTATGTCTGATTCCAGAATCTCCGTGACTTTCAGGCAAAACAGTTATTAAGGCAGGGAAAAAACACAAGCAATGACTTGTTATTGGGAGAACATAGGCTTTTGGTTTATAGAATGAAACTTGCTTAAGGCGCTTGGCTCATTGAAAAGTCCTTTTGACAGACTATAACTGAAGAGTTTCTTTCTTAGACAAAAATGGAACAGGTATAAATATAGAAAATCTGTACTTATGAGTTATTATACTTGGTGAAAATTTATCTTACAAAAGGATTCTTAGCTTTCAGGATTTAATGGACAGTAAAGTTACAGTCAGTTGTAGTGATACAGTTTAAATGACTTCACTTACCAAAATAAGATATAAGGTAACTTTCTAGAAATTGCCTGTTACACAAGCTCAGATGAAATTCCAATTAGCTGACTATACTTATGCACATACAATTATGTTGCCATCTAGTGGTTGGGCTGACACTTCATTCAAATTATTCAATAATTACTGATCAAATATCGACTGTATCAGGTACTATTTTAGATACCAAAAATAAGATTTCATTCCTACTCTTAACTAGTTCACAGTGTGAGGTTATAGGATCTTCAGATGCAAAAGTGAAGAAGAGCATTTTGTGAAACATCCCAGAAAGTAATGACGTTTTAAATGGAAAAATAATTAATAGCAAATTCCCATCTGTCTCCACATTCTGTACAGGTAACCGTAAGCATGGGCGTGATCCCTGTCTGTATGAGCCCCAGTGAAAGAGTCCCCTCCCTGGTTTCTGAAGTTGTAGTTCTGTTAGCTGAGTATTTGTAAGTCCTTTAGAGAAGCTGATTTTATTTCACCTTGGCCTTCTTGTCATCAAAATAATACAAACTGCTAAAGGAAACACTCCATTCTCAGACTTAAAAAGACACTACCATTAGGTATATCTCCATATTACCCACAGGGGGCAGTAGAATACATACATGGTAAGTCATTTATTACATCTATTGAACCCATACCAGATTTGATTTCATACTTGGTATATGTATTCACTCTGCCTTATTTGGCCAAATAATCTTACTGAATACAAAGTTTGAAATTTGAAATAAATTTCAAATCCACTCTATGCTAGCCCAAAATTTCATCTTAGACAACAGTTTGGGAAGTTTTCTAAATATGTAAGGATTCAGTGGGGGGGGGGGCGGGCGGGGAAGGCAATCCATGAAGATCAGTGTTCAAAATTTACTACAAACTATACATTTATTTTCTCGTTTAGTCATGGTTTTATAACTGTCTCGTCATGACATTTTTTTTTCCGTCATAGAAAGTGACTCCTGTTCACAACTCAGTTTCCCAATGGTTTAGGATATGCGGCTTTTACTGCTGTGGCTAAATTAGCTTGTGACAGTCATCTGTGATGTGTAACCAAACACCTCTCTTTCTGGCAGTCTTCTATTTTGGTACCTCTATGTGAACAGATGTGGGAAGAGTTTGGTCTGGCGGAGTGGGTGGAATGGGGAGGGGCGAGGCGGGCGGGGTCGTTAGCGACTGCCGGGGGAACAGGCTCAACTCATCCCTGGCTCGCAGCTTTAGTGAAACTGGGCTGCCGCTCGCTGCAGGCACAGCGCCCTACACATACCTGAGCAGGAGCGTGTTACAGGCGTAGCGCTTCTGCATTTGTGTCACAACAGGGCGTGGGGCCGACCTCAGGCTCTGGGAGTATCAGAGGCACCCCTGCTCTGGGATTTCAAGGCTCGGGTGTTCGGAGTGCTATTTGCACCTACGTTTCAAGTTAGCACTACACTGCAATTGCCCGGGAAATGTTTCCTCCTTAAGCTCAACCAAAGAAACGGTGACACCAGGCCTATTGCGTCCGGTGGCAGGAGACAATTCCATGGTTCCCTTGAGTGGGGTGCTATTTGGAATCACGGATAGGCGTGAAGTTATGTAAAGTCCAGGTCCTTCGCGGAGGGGTCCGTCGGACCGCAGGCACGGAGAGGACCCTCGAGCTTTTGCTAGAGGCCCCCGGCTGGGCCACTGTGGCGACGGTGACCTGCTGCGGGGGCCGCAGCGTGGCGGCACAAAGGTCCTGGTCTAGGTTCTGGCCCATCCGCGGACTGGAGCGGGGGTGGTTCCCCTCTCTAAGCGTCCGGGCGGTGCCGGGGGCGGGCCCGAGCGTGAGGGGTGGAAACAGCACCCAATAAGAAACGGGCTTGGCCAAGCCGGGGCGGGGCCTTCGGCCGGGCCTGCAGGGGCGGGACGGAGCCGCTCCGCTCCCTCCGAGTGGGACAGACGAGACTTAGCACCTCCGCGGAGGAAAGGACGGGGACCTCGCAGCCCAGCCGGAGCGGCGACGTCGCGGCCCGCCCAGGGCAGGTAGGAGCGGGGTTGATGCGGGGCGGGATCCGAGGCAGGGGCTTCGGGAGCGGACTGCGGGGCTGTCCTGCGGGCCAGGCGGGAGCGTGCTGGCGGAGGCGTCGGCCCTGGCCCGGCTGTCTCGGCACATCCCGGGCCTCGAGGGACGCGCGGGTGTCCGGTCTCGCGGGCGCCGGCCTTGGGGAGCTCCGCCTGTCGCACGCGGCGGTTGTGGCGGGGCCGGACTGAGAGTCTCCTCGCCACTCTTCTCCGGGGCGCAGGGGCCGTCGACGCGGCGGCGGCCGGGGGCCCTCGGTCCTCCGGGGGGACGAGAGGGAGCGCCCGGCTTGTTAGAGGAAAATCGGGGCTTTGGCCAGATGAGCCAGTTTTACCGTCGACAGACTGAGATGAGGAACTTGAAAGCATTTTTGGTGTTTGTGTGTTTTGATTCTTAACAGAATCTGACAAGCACAACGCTGAAAGTCAAGTAGGGTTTTGGTTTAAAAATCTGACAATGGAACATCTAAGAGCTTTTGAGTAATTAGGATGGCAGAAGATTTGATGATGAGTCAAGGGCTCGAGTCTTGGCCGGGACCCACGGACCAGCAGTGAGACCGCGGCCAGAATGACTTTTGTGGGCCTCCGTTTCCTTAGCTGTAGAATTGGGATGCTCAGGTCTGGGTGTATTCCAAGGGTGGAAGGAGCTTAGAGTATTACACAAATATTAAGTATTGTTATTTGTGCACCAGCCTCGTGCACATTGACTAATTGCCAGACACATAGTAGGAATGCGGTAGACCTTTACCCTAAAACTAGAGATTGACCTACAGTGTTTTACATAAAGTCCTAAGTCTCTGTTGACTGTGAAGGTAAACTCTTTAAGCCCATTTTCCACAAAATCACCATTGTTTGAAGTGTGGTCCACGTTTAACTAATTACTAATGAATTTTTCTAGAATAGCACATGTTATCTGTAGAGTTATTGAATCATTTACTATGAAGCAGGCAAATAATCGACTTTGTTTTAAGTATATAGTTGTAGTTTAATTTACCTGGGAAAGTAAGCTGGGAGTGTTTCTTCAAATCAAGATTTTCATTTGTTTTTTTAAGATTTAAGGTCTCCAAAACAAAATTAATGTTGCTTTTTCTGTACAGCCTTTATTATAGACATTTGCAGTTTGTAACCAGCAGACTTACTGGGGTTACTTTTGGGCGTGTTCTGAATTAGTTTCCCAGGCAGAAACCAGGAAATGTAGTAATTGTGTCTCTTGGCCTTTTATTAATTTTTTGTGTGTTGAACATGGCAGGGGATTTTTTAAATGCAGATATAAAGGAAGAATTTTTTTTCTGATGTGACAATGGGCAGTTTTCTAAAGCTGGAAATTATATTTACAGATGAGAATTTTAGGTCACTACATACTGAGATGAAGTTAAATGGAGGAATAAATGGGAAAGACCTAGTGAATATAATTTTATGTTGCACGTTTTACATGCTTCAAAGGTTCAGTGGGAGATGGATGTTTTGAAACTACTTTAAAACCCCAATTTTAAATATGTACTCCAAATATAAATTTTGCTGTGATTTATAACTTGTTGATATTAAAAGCCTTAAGCCTCACATTTGCATTATTTACTGAGCACCTGTTATATTCCAAGGCACAGTTTTAGCACTTACATTGTACAGAATTCAGGTATGGGCAGGATATAACTCTTACACCCTGGAGATTACACTATAACCAGTGGGCTAAAATAAGTACCAAGAAAGCTGTTTTTAAAACTGATAACAACATCCACCAGCATTAATTGGGACCTACTCTGAGCCAGGCAGTGTTCTAAATTCTTAACATGCATTAGCTTATTGAATCCTCACACAGCACCATGAGGGGTATTATTATTATGAGCTTCTGGCTGAGAGACACAGAGAGGTTGAGTAACTCGCCCATATCAAACAGCCTAGGTAGCAGAGCTAGGATTCAAACCAAACATTTGGGCTCCCCTCAAATCCTGATCTTAACCACTTAACCTCTATACTGAGTTTCAAATTCTCGGAGATACAAATGAAATGAAATGGGTATTTAAAAGAGTTCTGTAAAGAAGGTCTTCAAAAAGAAGGAAAGAGAGACAGAGGGAGAGAAAAG